TTTGTCCTAATTCATAAATAACGTAATTATTTTTCTACTTTTAGTGGACTTTTTTTGGAGGCGTCTTTGGAGTTTTTAAAGTCGGTTTTTTTAAACGTAGTTTTTTGTTGAGTGTAGATTAACTCTTAAGTGTCATTTTATGACTGAGCCTTACAGAACTACCGTACCAAAATTTCATATTGTACCTACATAATTTGAACCATCAATCTACGAGATAAAGTAACCCTATATTTTGAACAAATGAAAACAAATTGAACTTCTTTATTATGAAATATGAGTAAACGAGGATTTTAGTGGAAACATTAATATTAATTTGTACAACTTGTTATTATTTTTTAGAAGAGAAACATTAATAAAACTTAGGCGCGAGAGGGTTAATGGTTAGGGTGCCTAGGAAAGAAAGCAATAAATAATAATAATTGTTTCAGCTATCATTTATCAATTACCTAGCCCCAAAATAACAACATACTAGTATAGTATTTAGTTAGAGTCTAAGGGAAAAACAAACAAACTATAAAATATGAAAATATATTCGTAATACGAAATCTTAGAGATACAAAATAAATATAAAAATATTCTATAAAAAGCTTTACGCTGCTTACACTACTTGCGGACTTTTTAAACTTTGGCTACAAGAATGTGAAACACTATAACTAAATTATTTTAAGCTTATACGCAGACCACCGATTTTTAGTCGGCCGATAGTTGGTGGGCCCGATTCTAATTTGTATGAAGAATCAATCGGTGTAATGTGCGCACTTCCATACGTGCTCATACTGATTAAAGGTTCGGCCAAACCAACGCGATCACTCGCGATCAATCAGCCGGCGTGCAGCGATGGCGACCAGACTTAAATGCATTGATCGCCATCGCAGCACGCCGAATGATCGCGTTTGATCGCGTTGGTTTGGCCGAACCTTAACTGCCCGACTAAACTATCGGCCGACAAAAAATCGGTGGTCTGCGCCTATGCTAAATCTTTCTTTAAAGGAACTCATAAAACTCATAAAAACTCATAAAACTCATTTATTTCTGTAAATAGGCTTAAAAAAAGCACTTTTACACGTCCCAGTATTAACCCTACCACTGCTTCAGGACAATAAATGGGCCAGTGCTGAGAAGAAGCAGCGCAAGAAACTCAGTCACTATTGTCAGCCTCTTTTTCAAAGGTTTACATGCTTTAAAATGTACAAAGTTATAAATATTTATGCGAGCTAGGCAGTAAAGTATCCCAAACATTTTTATCTTTTGACTTTATAGTAGCCCTTTTTCATTAAGGTACTTTTAATATGTGCTTTGAATTTATGAATGGGTAGTTCTACAACAGTTTGTGGTAATTTATTAAAGAACTTAATACATTTTCCCATAAATGAATTACCAATCTTATGCAATCTGAAATTTGGAACGGCAAGTTTATTTTTGTTTCTTGTATTAAAGTTATGCAAATCGCTCTTTTTCGTGAATTGCTCTATATTTTTGCGGACATATAAAAGGTTTTCATAAATGAACTGTGAAGCTACTGTCAGTATGTTAATTTCCTTAAAAAAATCTTTCAAGGAAAATCGGGGTCCAAGGTTATAAATGGCCCGCACTGCTCTCTTCTGCAGAACAAACACAATTTGAATGATTCGTGAAGAATCATTCTTCATTTTAGCATTTACGAGTATAACGTAGGTAGAATTTTACAAATAAACCGTGGCTTTTATTCTAAAGATACCTCATTGTTATTTGTTCTAAAACTTTTATCCTAAACGTTCAGATATAAAATAAATACTAAAAAAACGTATAAAGGCTGACAAGTGAAGTCGTTATTACTAAATAACGGACAATAAAACCGTCTGGAATGTTTTATGATGCGCGTCTTGTAACGTTAAGAAAATAGGATGGGCTGTTTACGAAATACGAGTTTTATGTCTGTACCTAACCTGCGTAGTGTCGTAAGGCTCAAGAAAACAGGAGTTTTAATAATGTCACATTCTCTATTGAATACATTAAAATAACTGCAACACGGAGTGAATAGTTTCATTTAAGTGGAAAATATAAAAAAAAAAACCAAACTAATTGAGGATTGTAGTACAAGATTAGAATTTTTGAGTTGTCACTATGTAGCAGTACTTGTAATTTTTTCAGTTTTGCAGGCGGTTTTTGGTTTTTCAACTATTAAATAGGTATTAATCACTGTTTTACTCTGTCAATGTCTTATAGGCATGCTATAGAAATAAATATAAAGAAATAAATTCAGTTTTTTACTCGAAATAGAGCTAAAAAAATTCCGGGACGTGTCAAATTAATAATCACAGCCGAGATATTGTTTTTCAACAGAAGTTTTACCTTAATCAGCTACAATCAATTTTCTTTCGTTATTCTATTTCTATTTAGATGCCAATTTAGATATCCTATTAATTATCTTGATACTTGCTTAGTAAGGGAAATTGCTTAATCAACTTTAATTAACAAAAAGAAGTGGGCTATGCGGTAATTCTTGACTCATTTCCGTTCGTGTGTTTGAAAACCAAATACGGTTTTTAAGGTTTTACACAATAAGCTTAATGTTGAAAGAAAAATCGGCAAAAACCTCTTTTACCGATTTTGTAAGCTTAATGAATAGATTGATTGCAAGCGGTCTCATTCGATTTTTTTGTTAATTGGCTCCCGTTCGAGTATGATAGGAAACGCCATAGGAAAAAAGATTTTTTTGTAACAAAAGTAAGTTGTTCCTTCCTTCGAAGATGTGAAAATAGTTGTATTGTTCGGCTTTTGTGTATTCTATTATTTGATTAAGAGGCTGTTCAAGTTTAATTGAGACCTAGTATCACAGAGACTGGTTTCGATCTATTGTAATCGCCGCTCTGATAGTGTAGTATTTTGAGATGGGATATGCCTCAATTTATCTGGATCTAAGATGTGTTTACGCAGGAATTAAGTATGAGCCAGAGCACACAATGCGTTGCGACGCCGCACTCGTGTCGCCACAGATATTTCTATGTAAGATGACGCAGTGACACCGCTCCGGCGTCGCACCGCTGCCGCAACGCATCGTGTGCTTTGGCTCTTAGTAACTACTTTGTAGTCAGGGAACATAATGTGGCTGTATTTCATCCGCCTAGTGGGATATTCAGCATATTTTCGAGTCGAATCGTCCCACAGTGGACATAATTATGCATATTTCAGTCGCAGTGTCCTGTAAGGGCTCGGACTATATTTTGCATTTGCTATGAGGCAATTTTTTTTACTAAACAAATATTAAATTCTAGGAAAATATCGGTACATAACAGTGCACCTTTACCTGTCTTCAGGTACCTCTAACACGTCGACTTCGAATCGTTTGCGTATTTGAATCGCCATTAAAAGATTAAGTACGATAACTATATAAAACAGCGCCCCTGTGAACGTGTCGTAAAGTGAACTTATTATAAGAAATGGTTGCACGAAATTTGTCACGTTATCGTTTAATTCGAAGGTTGAGTATCGAATTTTGTCGAATACGCAAACTATTCGAAGACGAAAGTTGTTCATGCTAGAGTTACAGTTTCCGTACGCACGTTCCGTCATACATACCTAGAATTCCATTACTTAGGTAGGTACTTTCTATCCCAAACTTTTCCATCATATTATTANCCTGAACATTGAGTCTAGATCTCAGCAATGCTAGCGGAGTGATCAACCGGTTGAAGGAGTTGGTTCGTGAGATTCAGATGCTATGACTACCAGCGCTGCTACGCTGCACCGCCACGCGTGTGCCATTGTGGCACGAACCAGAAACTGCCGCGATTGCGGCTCGGGCATGGAAAAAACGGTTTAGATTATCGTAAGTATGCATTCCATCATCTCATTGCTACTCACGGCTCGAAGAACCAACTACTTATCGAAGTCTTGATGCGAAACAGCCGTGTAATCTTATCCGGTTCAATGAAGTACCTTGTGTGACGCACGCATGACACGGCCTTGTTTACGCCTAGAATCATCCACGAGATAATTAATAGATGAGGGGACGGCCAAACATAATACACGTTCCCGAATAGCTCGTGCGTCATAACTATATTATGCGAAGTTATCTTGACGATGGTAAGATGTAATTAACATAACGTCATGTTCCAAAATAGTCGAGAGGTCAATGTACTCGGTAGTTTTCTACCAGCTCAATTGGCTTTTCACGAATCATTAGCCGTTGAGTTTGAGTCTTTTCTGCAAGCGTATCAGTCGGACGACCTACTCGCATCGTTCCTGAATGATGATCGTTCGTCGCCCGTTCCGCAGCATACACAAGTCGGACGAAACCGACATAAAAACTATGATAAATAACAATGCCTGGTGTAAGTGACGCGTAATTTTTATTCCATCATCGACCATCTGGAAAGTTGCCATTTGAAAAAGAACGGATAACGTTCAACGCACTCAACGGTTGTCGCGAGTGAGTTATGGGCTGAATTTATGGCTGTCGTGCTATTAACTTACTCGCCAACTATTTATTCGCGGAACGATTATGGGTTAATAGAAAACAGATGTGGTATAATCTGTTTTGGCGAGTAGGTAAAACAGACAATCAGGTATTATTGTAACACGATTCATTGTTCGATATGAATACCTATCAGCATTAGCTACGTGCAGGGTTTTTCAAGCATAAAGTCACGACGACATTTGCAAGCATGTGATAACTGTTCATAGAGTTAACATGTTCTTATCTAACCTTCGCCTAAGATAACGAGTGGGTATGGAAAAAGAAGGCTGTTTCATTTCGAAGTAAATTTATTGTAAAAATATACGATAACAAACTGATTGCTTCTCTACTGAGCATGAAAGGAAGTAGCGTCTACTTATTAAATTATATATAGGAACTCAAGTTAACTTTTACAACCGTCCGAGAACTGAAGACAGGCTCACACTTAGGTACACATAGGTAGATACTGTTACAACTTAAAACTATAAACCATCACACTTAGTGTCTAAAACGTATAAACTAATCGTACACAGTATGTATTCTATTGGTAAATTCTTACAAAATGGTGATTTGGTAACAATGTGTTGATCAACCAAAAGTTACGAACAAAGTTAGAACACCTCAACTTCTATAGCTACATTGCAAACAATCAAAGGTATTTACAAATACAAAACTTATAAGGTAGAGTGTTGTATATTGACGAAGTAGTGACAACTGTCATCTGTGGGGTCAAGAACCGTCACAACATCGTATCATACATCCTACTAAACTTACTGCAAACCCTCTAACCATACTCATTCATTGAATGTTTGAGAACACTTTAAGTTTTGGCCTCTCGTTTCCCCACAAAATTGTTACATACACTTATAACTAACGGTACAACTAGCCATGACACATTGCGGGGGATTCCTAGAATAAACCTTTTCCCAGAAGTATTGTGGTCTAGTAGTCTTATCATAAACATTAGGAAATAGGCAATTAACTATTCAACTATGGTGCGCCATTCGAGGAAAACGACCTCGTTATATCATGAAATTAATCCTAATTGACATCGACCGGTCTCGAATGGCGCCGGCCGCATGAAATATGGCATGTTTTAGGCATCATTCAAATCCTTAGACCTTGCGAGGGTCGATGGCACTCCTATGAAACGTGATAACATTGTTTGTCGTCGTTGAACAATACGTTAATTATGTAAAAGGTTAGGTTCAATACATAATTTACATTTGTATAAAATTAAAATATACGAGAAGTCTCAGTGTTTTTGTGTGTACACTGAGATAACAATATAGTTACAGCATTAGATGTCGATCATTGAAGCCATGACGTGAAACCAGTCGATGGATTAACTGATCGCATTTACGGACTTACAGGGCAACAAAGTAATGGTCGATGGTTTTGTATTGGCATGAAGCTGCGAGCAAGAACGTTTTCATCACAACGATGAAATAACATGCAGCAGAGACTGCTGCAAGAATAGAAATCTGTCAGGACTGGGTGTTGTTTGCGTTCATACTCCAAGTTACAAATGACATACTTGACGAACTGTTTACGAATAGGACCATCGATACTATTTAAGCTCGTCATGTCAGAACAAACACGGTTATTCCGGTCTGTGATGGATATTCTCATGCAGCACTTGGGACAATCCCAATTGAAAGTACGATTATCTGGTACCCAATGGAAGGTACTTGGCAAGGGACTCGGCATGACCGATTTAGACTTGGACCTCAATTGTGGTTTGTGAGAATGATAGAAGGCAAAACCACAAAGGCACATGATTGTTAACTCGGGTGTAATAGATTCTATAAACGGAGCAATACCCTCGAAGGTCCAGTACTTTGTAGAATTCATCGCCATGCACTCATGAGAGATTGAAAAATCACAATCTATACACTGATGTGTTTTCATGAAACGTTCAAACGATATAGGCCCGCTACAGAACGTCCGGCAGAGATACTGGAAGGATTTTTGTATAGCCTCGGTTTGTTCTTCAGTGAATTGATTATTCTTCAATAGGGTACGAAATTCCATCGACTTGAAGTCGCTTTCTGATATATGAGACCATAAGCGGACATCGTCAGCTGTACTGCTTAACTCTGACAAGTCCGCGGCAGCCTTGACGGTAGATTTGCGCTCCGAAGGTGAAACTTTGGTTCCTGGCGGTGACGCTTTATGCTGGTGCCTCTTCATACCGTGAGGTTCTTTCTTGGTGGACGGCTTATCAGTAGTCGGAGCTGTAGGCTTCGCATGGCTCCTCTTCTTCCCGTCTTTTTTAGGTTTCGAAACATGACCGCTTTTCACCGAATAAGTTTTTTTTGCAGTACTACTTGCTGATTTGGACTTCAATTTCTTGCTGACAGAAGTATGAGAGCCACCGACGTTCTTATCGATGTCAGTAGAACGCGATTCAGAAAGTGGAATACTTATAGCCTTTATTTCTTTCGTTGTAACCGCCATCAAGCCGAGCGCATGTAGAAACGACGGTCTGACTGGTCGAACTTCTAATAGTCCCGGCGCAGCTTCGGCTTGACTGAAATCAGCATTGCCTTCATTGAGAATGGCAATCTCCATAGAGTCTTCATTTAAATATCCGCTGCCGCGCTCGTCCATGATAACCTGTTTGATACACAAGTCAAATGTTTACACAATGTTCCATAGAAACGTGCACGCGCGCGACGCCTAGTCGCCGCGGAATATAATCAACCACTGCCGGACACAGAGCATGGAATCGTCGCGCGCCGCCGCGGCGCGCGACGATTAGACTGGCCGTGCCCGCCCGCGTTCGATCTGCGTTGGCAACCGCTGATACTACACGGAAACGATACGATAACAGAATGGAATCGCGCCATAACTTCGTGGTTGCTAAACACTCACGATATATTTACAAACATTTACCTTAATAGGAGTGCATACTATTAATATGTTATGATTATAATGTGACGAATACTAACCGCAACACGTGAACAATTCTTGAACGGGAAATAACCTCACGCACGTGTTGACTCTTTGGTCGGTTAGTCAGTACTGAGTGAATGTCTCACGCACCTTCGTGTAAATGGCGAACTTCATTGCGCGTGCGTGGTTCCACATTTATAATATGCGCGAAGTCGTTGTTTTCTTTTTTTTCTAAATCCAAAAGGTGTTTTTCAACGATAGGACACGGCATGACCTTGAAACCACTAAATTCGTTGATTGTTGTTATTATTTTGGCCTAATACAAGCAATATACCTAGATATTGGTATGTTCGGCACCGGTACTTCGAGCTTAGTGTTTAATATGTTATCGCTATACACCATGCAACGATAATCGGACAACATTGGGAATGTGACGAGTGTGAGAAGCATGGCTAGCGCGGCAAGCGTATCAGTGTCATGGATTCCGTTATGGAATACGTGTACACGACAGTTGGTTCGACTTGCTCGGTAGGTGCATTGTGCATGCTTCAGCAGCATTTTATACATATGGGAATTAGCCTTATCAGTATGAAGGAAGTTCCCGTAAAATTTATACTTTTCATACAGTCAGGATCACGAGAGTGTACGGCCCATAACTCCTGGATGCAGGTCCAGATGTGAGTGGGAGTTTTGACATTGCAACATCAACCCGATGCACTAGGATGCATTTGACTCAAAATGTACTTGCATTTTTTCACTAAAAACGATGGTTTCCAGCCTCCTGGCAGGCTTCTGGATAAGTTCTGGACATGAATCTCTGCAAAAGACTTGCAGGTGTTGCAGCAAAGTGAGAAAATCACAGCCGCATAGCTCATAAACCCGTAGCGCAAAACTCAGATTTCCAGTATGGTAACGTCGATGCTAGGCTAGTGACAGCTTCTACATAACGGTCTAACATACCTGAGCAGAGCTCACGTGCTGTTAGACCTCTGCAACTCACATCCCCTTATCTTGAAACGTTTGTGACGTATACAGAGTTCATGGCACGTTTTCCTTGTATGCGTATGTGTGTGTATGTACGTGCGTACACGTACACGAATGTTACGTAGGTTAAGATATGCTATGACGTGAACAGTCTGTGCCTACGAACCGTTGTCAAGCCGGCAATCATAAACGTTAGGCATGCCCCCTGTGATTCAACAGCAAGTACGAAGTACGAACGTCTGAGACTGAGAGCTGTCTGAGGTGTGTTCTCTGACTGCAATGTACCGCGACGCTTGAGACACATCAATGTTGTTGTTATGTTGCATAAACATATATTCTGTGACCATAGCTACCTAACACCTTATCTTGAGTTTTATAACAACTACACGGTTTATAGTTAGTGATTCCGTGAATTCGCGCACGGCAGTGTGCTCTTGTGGGTACCTTATAACATAGTTTACCAATTAGTGGGGCGCAATCGTATCTGTTGTGACACAAGTCATATAACAATGTAGCCTCAAGTTGCATGCGTCTGTGCCTTAGACTGAGAAGATGATATTTTTCAAGAAGCTGTTGGTATGACAAGTATCTACGAGAGAATCGGTAGTGTAAAGAACGAAGGAACTTTTTTTGGATTCTTTCGAGGGCCAAAACATATTTATTATAGAAGGGATTCCAGATAGACACAGCATACTCAAGTTGTGATCGAATTAGTGTTTTATACAAAAATATATATGTAGATGGTTTTAGAAAATGTTCAGTTCTACGCATTACAAAACCATACATTCTGAAGGCGTTATTAATTATATTATAAATGTGAGTATCAAGAGTTAATTTAGAATCTAGGATGATTCCTAGGTCTTTTATAGATTCAACAGATTCAAGTTGCAAACCAGATAAGCTGTATTTATAGTTATATGTTATTCTTTTTTTGGTGAATGTTATAGCTTTACATTTATTGAGACTTAATTTTAATTTATTTATGACGCAATAGTTAGAGAAGCGGTCTAGATCAGCTTGAAATCTCAAATGATCATCATCGCTCTCCACAGTGCTATAAATTTTTAGGTCATCGGCATACAAGAGGAAACTGCAAAATCTAAAACAGTGATGAACATCATTAATGAATAGAATGAACAACAGAGGTCCAAGAATAGAGCCTTGCGGCACTCCTGAAGTAATTGGAACAAACTCTGATTCATGCCCACGCACAACTACTTTCTGGGTGCGATTAGTTATATAAGATTTAAACCATCGCCAGAGATCCCCACGAATGCCGTTGTATGCGAGTTTGTCCAATAATATTTTGTGGTCGACTCTGTCGAAAGCCTTCCGGAAGTCAGTGTAGATACTATCCGTTCTTTTATTGGCGTCTATGCTCTCAAAAATATACGAAGCATAGATTAAAAGATTTGTACTAGTTGATCTACGTTTTACAAAACCGTGTTGCTGTTCAATAATAATGTTATGTAGGGAAGGGTAGATGCTATTGTGAACTAGTCTCTCAAAGACTTTCGACAGAGCGCACAGGATAGATATGGGACGATAATTCTCTACATTGCTTTTATCTTCTCCTTTGAATACTGGNTGCATGCGCCTGTGCCTTAGACTGAGAAGATGATATTTTTCAAGAAGCTGTTGGTATGACAAGTATCTACGAGAGAATCGGTAGTGTAAAGAACGAAGGAACTTTTTTTGGATTCTTTCGAGGGCCAAAACATATTTATTATAGAAGGGATTCCAGATAGACACAGCATACTCAAGTTGTGATCGAATTAGTGTTTTATACAAAAATATATATGTAGATGGCTTTAGAAAATGTTCAGTTCTACGCATTACAAAACCATACATTCTGAAGGCGTTATTAATTATATTATAAATGTGAGTATCAAGAGTTAATTTAGAAACTAGGATGATTCCTAGGTCTTTTATAGATTCAACAGATTCAAGTTGCAAACCAGATAAGCTGTATTTATAGTTATATGTTATTCTTTATTTTACGGTGACATATTATACAAACAATAGGATTTGCACAATAATTCTGTCGGCGCGATAATCTTTTGTTTTTTATATTATGATTCTTGATTAAATTGTCTATTCAATAGTTTTGTTAACCTTAAAAAAAATCCAAACCTCGTAACTCAGCATATTGTTTCAAGTATTAACTCATTACCGAGAACTAAACGCAGGCTGTCTAGTACTTATCATAAACAATCTCATTAAAGTACGTGACTGATACTTAAATGGGAATAATGGTAGGTAAGTGGTTTAGAGGTGTCAGTAGCCGCAATACCTGAACTTATTAATCACTGAATGGACAGATTATTAATGAATAATTGTAGCAATGAGTGGTGAACAACAATGGTGCGGTGCGGATATTTAATAAGATTCCGCAACACGATTCCCGCGGGCATTGGGCCTATCAAGGCGGTTTGACGATGATTAATAAGTTACGAATGAATGGCACGATCTGGGGGTCTATTCGGAACTATTCATATAGAATCGACTCTATTTTTCTCTTTTACTCACCCTGTTTGTGATATTTGTTTGACTGAAAGGGATGGATATTTTTAATATTAGAACTCAGCTTAAGTAGACACCATGGATTGAATTTATCTTAGCCACATAGCCATTGTTACTGCTCAATACGCCACGTTTGTTCATGAGCCAAATAACCGGTAGAGTTTGAGTGTGAAGACATTTTAATTACGAGTTGGTATTAATATTAATTTAACTTAGAGACTTTGCTGATTGTTCATGACGCGAGATCAAAGCAACTAAATAGCTATCACTTACAAAAGTAATAAAGGGTGTATTGTAGGAGGTATCTTGAAACTATTGATCGAATTCCAAAACTTACACGAAGGCTCATATCAACTTTGCCCGAAACAATATTACAATTTAAGCGTAGATGTAAACCTGTCATTGGTTATATGTACATGTTACGGCTAAAGATAGGTGTGGACATAAACTTAAGANGAATACTGATGAATTACTGCATTATTGAAGAAGCAGGGGTGTGCAGGAGCCGGGTTGGACTCTTCAATGGGTCAGCCTGGTTCTATGAAGTGCCATATGATACACTTTTATAATTATACGGGTCTATTTATATGTATTTATAAATTTGTTAATAAAAATTATTAATAACTTCTTAGTATCATTGACGTAGAATAAGCTGACGCCACATAACGTCCAGTAGGTATCCCAACTCTCGTATATACCTGACTGCGAGCTTAGGCGACCATCGGTCTGCTAGGCTACATGTGCATCGCGACACGATAGCACAGTCGCTATCGATAGCTCATTCTATTGTGTGACCACGAACGCGTATACGCCGCAGTCTTATCGGTATAGCTCGGCGGTGCGCCCAAGACACGGTTAATCTTGTACGGCGTTTGCAAAAGGTATTGTCAAGACGGTTGCACTTTGTATTAACCGCAGGATTAACCGCATTAGGTACAAACTTTACTTCAGTTTAAAAACAAACAGTGTATGTTATAATTTATTTAATTATGACGTAAAATAATAGAGAAATTGCGTTGACGCCAGGATTTCTGGAAAAACCACTGATATAGTTGCCTATTATTACAAACAAATTAATATACTGTAATTATTTCTAATGAGTGACGCAATAATAAAACCCGATCGCGATATACCCATATTTGAACATTTATTTATTAATTTAATTTCAGGATTATATCCTGAACAATTTTCCCTGAATTGCATCATTGAGCTTTGTAATTTAATTATTCCTTGTATGGCCGCTGTTATCGGCTGGCTATACTATATAAAGTCCCTGTATGCGGCATGANATTAAAGTGTTTTTGTAAAATCACAGGTATCAAACAAACTTTTACTCCTTCATTATATTACCCTGTTTTATGTTGGTGAAACGAATTTTAGAGTCATTCAAATCACGTGTTACAAAATTTGTAGAGCGTGGTAAAAAACTTGAATATGCTTGTAATTTGTTCCTTTGATTATCGATGTACAACTCACAAAACCACTAGCCAGCCATATGTCAGCCATAGGACGTCCACTGCTGAACACAGGCTCCGATGCTGATTTCCACAATTGCCGGTTGGTTGCGGCCTGTATCCAGCGCCTTCCTGCTACCTTTATGAGGTCGTCGGTCCACCTTGTGGTTATGAGTCCTACGCTGCGC